GTCTAGTTAAAATTAGATGAAGAAAGACCACGATGATTTTACAGCAAGATCAAGATGAGATATGGACGCTGAATCTTGGATACAATCAAAAGTGGATTGTATCTTATCAATAGAAAAGGCCCTAGGGTTTAATGTTATCCGGTGTAGGTGTAAATTGAAGTATTCTGTGAAATCAGTAGGAGGCTTGACTTGCGCTACGCTAAGCTACTACCGAGAAACTGTCTTCCTGACCGACCAAGTACAATATGTAATTCTCCATATTGTCTGCAAAAATTGTTGAGTATATGGACTGGACCTGCCATCATTGGTATATTCGTGGAAATTTGTATGGGACGTCTCTAAATTGAGTGTTCAAAGCTTGCAATAGAAAAAGGTTCCGACATTTGACCCTTAAGCAGTTGATTTCCTCGTCCAAACATGGCTTGTTTTGTAGCAAAATCTGTGATTATTTATTTTATATATTGCAATATTTATTTTTTCCAAAGGCCACTTTTTGACTTTAACACCGTTTCGATTGTGGTCAAATTTATGCCCTTCCGTTTTTTCCACCAACCGTATTTCAACCGGAAATGACTCAATCTCCACTCCCCACGACATCTTGGCCACATTTCTTTTATGTCTTTACTTGCAACCTTTGTCATCTTGTCTTATCACACTTCAAATTTCTGAGGTCAGAGGCCTTGACAGTTGGGGTGAAATTGTCCATTTCTTCAGAGGCTATGACCTCAGCGGCCCGGTCTCAGTTTCAAGTTAAAATAAGGCCTTTATGATTGATGGATAAGGTGAGGGAAGAGAGAGGAAAGGTAAAAACAAAAATTCTCTTGTTATCTTCGAGAGTTCAAAGAATCTTTGTCGTGCCGAAAGTGAGGGTGTATTTGTGTAGGTGAAACGGGGATATTTCAGATATTTGTGATTGATTGCGTCATCAGGGTGGAATTTTGAAAGAGGGTGTGCTTGGCCGGGAATTTCTCGGTAAACCAGAGGTCGAAAAGTAGCTAAGAGTGCCAGCTAAGCATCCAAAACTTTAGGAAACGGAGCTTCAAGGCCTTAAAAGGCAGACAACAAATATACATGAGTTTGTTGATATTGTCAATTTCAGTATGTCGGAAAAATAATGAGAAATCGTTGCGTTTGGAAATCGCACATCATCTTTTACTGCGCCAATTCCTTATTATTTTCCCGACAGAATGGTAATAATTTACCCTTGACCATACCAAATCTTGACCTTATCTGTTCCGCGAATCCTTATCCGTCACAACATTTGTTTTCGATTTTCTTCCGTGTCACATTCTGGCTTCACCTTCAGCGACCTCTATTTTTCTCACTACTTCACATTTCAACCGGTAGACTTCTCGGAATCACCAAATATTTTTTACCAAAGTGTGACCAAGGACATTATTATATAATTTTCTCTGATTTTCGAGCATTAAAAGTCTTCTTGACGTCGAATTGAAGACTTGCAAAGACTGCCAAATTTACAAGAAGCATTTGTCTGACTTTTGTGAAGCCAGATGGGGTTGATGTTTGGCATTTTTCGTAATTGGGTTGTAAGGGTTCATTTGGTCATAGCTGTCATGGGTTGCGTACTTTAAAATATCCTTCTCAAAGACACCAATCTCAAAAGTTTTAGCCAGCGTAAAAGCTGTATCGCAGAAGCAATACAGCTTTTCAGCAATTTTTTTGGTAAGACATCAGTCCGTATATGGGGACTGCCCTAAAAAGTGGACGATCCCAGGACCGGTGCAAGTGCAAGTGAAGGTATAGTTACCAGTGTTTTTTTTATTTGAACCACTAGACGTAGCCGGTCTGGTGTCTGTTTTTTTAGCTAGTCTTAGCGGCTCGATACCTTACAGAATAGCAAATTTTGATCAATTACCGACATTAGAACAAATGTTTCTTGTCATCAGTTATTCCTAATAATGTAAAAATTTCCCATAGCATTAACAAGAATTTGCTCGCTTTTTCCATCAACCCTGATCTCTCGTCCCTTTTCCTTTTCTATTCCCAGGAAAACCGATTAACCAATCATCGCCGCGCAAGAGACATCAAACACCCTTCAGAGGCCCTCAGGCGATTAGACAAAGAGACGTCGCTGCGGCGCCATCAAGTCTGACCGTCATCTTTTCCTCTCTTTCCGCGAGATACTTCTGCTTAACAACGCCCAAATTTAAATCAAATCAGTTGTCAGCGCCGCTACTTAGGAACCATAAATCAGGAATCAGTTGGAAAAAACTACCACCAAAAGACTGCAGTCATTACTTTTCAAGAATGCTACTGGTGTTACTCAGTAGTGGCGTTGCCTTGAGTGTTCCTTTTTGGTGGGGTTCCTGCTAAAAATACTTAATTAAACGTTCCGTCGTCGGCCTTGAGAAAGTGGAAAAAATACCTGCTGACTGAAGAGGAATTTGCAGTCGAACAGAACTTTGCTGTACATCAAGGACTCTAACTGGGGATCAAAGTCGATACGTTGAGGAGTGGCAGGACTTGCATTCCTAATTCTAATTTTGTAACTGTAGAAGAGAGAAGCAAATTAAAAGGTCAAAAAATCATTGAGATCCAAGAAATTGCAGAAATTTTTGCTCTGATTTTTTGGTGACTCGGCAAAGTATTGATCGAGAAATTTCAAATTGGAGACCTTCAGTACAACGTATTTTAGTTCAGCTCCAAAAAATTAAAGAAATTTTAGCAAATTAATCTAATTTAATCTAGAAAAATGTTTATGCTGTGCCCGTATTTTACCTCTGTTACTTTCTTCCCAAACTTCCTATCTTCTTGCAAACATCCCCAGAACTTGCAATTAAGTTACAGTAATCCTCGTGATCTTTAAAGGTGATTTAAATTATTGAAAGTGCTTTACGTGAGAGTGGAAACTCCAACACTAATTAGGGATTGTTTGTATTTACGATACGCGCATGTTCTCTAAACTTGCCCTTGCAATTATATCCAATTTTGAACAGAAAAAAGGCGTTAACCCAGTTTAAATGTCAACATAGATGATGACATTGCTTGATCAACTCCATATTCAAAGTTTGCTGTGCTACAATTTGGCAAAAAATTACTGTAAAGGACGTAACTTTTATCCATAAAAAATAGCAAAAAATAAAAAAATAGGTCAAATAAAAAAGTACAGTAACCAAAAACCCGCAAGAAATCTGGCTCGCTCTAGTACTCAGAATCTTCCTCTCACATCTTTAACCTGACCGTGACGTCCAAATCTCTGCAACCTAACCCAAACTTATGCTGAAGGCACTTCCTCATAAAGGTCATTTTTTGGACTCAAAACTCCTACGTCGTCCCTCTTCTTCTATTTCTTCACGTTTCTTCTTATAACTCTAGTTTGGAAACTGTAACTAAACAGGCAATGAATATTCTCGAAGTGAAGGCGGTATTTATTATCTGACATGATAATCACTTGACTCGTTACATCCAGGAATTTAATTCATTGTTTTGATGCTCCGTATGTTTTTTGGGATTATCCAGAAAGTTAAAATAGAATTGGGAGGATGTCGGATGGCACGTAGAGTGAAACTCGTCAGCGCGTTCTTTGGTAATGAGAAGGTTTTATTGGGCTTTCAATGAGGTAACACATGGTAATTGGGAGTTGAAAAAATCTAAAGGCCGTTTATAGAGCGGAGTTCGGAAGAGTAATTTTTATGGCCTTTGAAGGGGTATTACCGTAATCATTTAGTCTGAACTCGCCTCTAGGATCAAGAAATTTCATTTGAGCCGGTCTCTTTGGAAAATTCAGCGAAAATTTTGTGGCATCTTTGTTAATCACTGTAAGAAAATGTTCTGTGGTGCTGTCGCATTTTAGAGGCCTAAAAGAATTTTTGTTTTATCAACGGTGGCAGAAATCATAATTTTTGAAGCAAATTTCCCTGCTCTTGCTGATAACTAATGCATTTGAAATAATCCTCTCACATGACAATCATAATATTTTCCTCAAGATGCGTTACACAGAACCTCAACTATATATTGCACCTTGAACGCATTCCATTCCTCCACGTTCCTCATTTCGTACACCGACGACATGTTAAACTCATTTTTTACGCCGATCGTTCCCCACTACGTGCATCCGACCTCCGCCACACCCGAGAGTCCGCATTCTTCTGCCCTCATTTTACTGTAATTTACTATAATAAACGACTTAGACAAACAGTTTATTCAGGGAAATTAAGCGAAAAGAAAAATTTGCGCGCTTTACATCGACGAATTTCCATCGATGCGTTAAAGGCGACGTTCGACGAACTACCGTATGCCCTCAGGGTCGAACGGGGCGAAAGAAGAAAAGAGCAATCGTCTCGGCTGCGCTTCACCAGAAAAAGCCGGGTGAGAGAGTGAAGGGAGTGAGAGACGAACAGAGAAGAAAGGAAAATTATAAGAGCAATAAGAACAAAGCAATCCCCTATTATAAAATTAGCAAAAATTAAGCACAAAAAAAGAAAATTTGCATAAATTAGAAAATGATATTGCATAAAACGTCATACACACTACAGCATACCCAAAAATTAAACTTGGCTGAATAACTCGCAATTTGCAATGACGGTTTGAAGAATTATGACAACAGTTAAATTCATATCCTCTGAGCCGTGCTCTGATAGTTTGCGAGGGTGGAATCGAGGTTTGGACATAACAAGCAGTGAGCATATAAAATTCTATTATTATATACATCACTTTGAAAAGCACAAGATATGGTAGCAATATATAGAAACCTCCTGGATAAAATTCCTGTTGAACTGAGCTAACCACTGTCAAAGGGAACACTAATCTTCACAGCGTATTTTACAACCTCATACAGGCCTTTGGAAAGAATATTTATTTGTGTATATTGTCAATATTCAACATACTACTGCATTTTTGGATTACCGTATATGATCACAGAGTTTTGAAAAAAGCCTTTTCTTTCATAGATCGAGTAATTTCCAGAGCCCCTCAGACGGCGAGACTGTTCTGCCACGCCAAAGCCCAGACATTGTGGCGATCGCGGAGACTGCACAGCCATGGAAAGTGGAGTTGTTGGGTGTGGTCGCTTCAGGGCTGGAATTCCAAATTCCATTCGCACACGGGTCAGTTGGGGGTGGGACCGAAGCAAAGGCAGAGAACAGGCAGTGCTGTTCGCCCCGCCCTGCGGGGCAGCTGAGAGAGTGGGTTGGAGACAACGGGTGATATAAAAGCGCCGCCGGGAGCGGGGAGTCTCTGCTTTCCCACAAACAAGCAACCCCCTCCACTACTACCAAAGCCCTCGCGCTTACCGTAATTCGCTACCGTACTCACAGAGTATCGACTTGATCTTACTGCTACTAATAGTACCGAGCTTAACACTCCGTACTCTCAACCGCATTTCCCTGCTCTAAAAGCGATTTTAGAGCAAAGATTCCTTCGAATCCGCAGATTCGACGGCCATTTCGACTACAATGGCCTGCTTGCCTCCCTGGCGGTTCGGCACCGACGACTGTGCCGACCTCTACTGAGCAGCGAACATCGTCAACGAGACCCCTGGACTGCACTCTTCCATTCCACATGAGCCCAAAACGACTGGTCGATTTGAGCCCAAGATGTGCACGGTCTACAGTAAATATCACGACGATTAGCTGACATTAAGCCGGCTCAGTGCCCGAAGATGTGCCTTACGACATTTTCAACCAAATTCCAGCGTCACAAGACTCGATGAACGATCCAACTTAATAATAATTATGTTAAGTTTAGCTTTAAAATTATTCGTTTGCCTTCTCTGATCTCGTTGTACTTTAACTGTTGCTCAGATCGGTCTCTTTAATAAGCACTGTATTTATATCATTCAAACGTGTAGTCATATGCCAAATAATTCATATTGTTGTTAGTTTTGTTAGATTCTCTTCGAACGATCTCCCAATGTACGAATCTCGAAATTTGAATGCGAAAAAATTGAAAATCAATAAAAACTATAAAATATTACTTGAATCGGAATGAATACGATTTTTTTAACTAAGCAAAATATTTGTAGACGGTACGTAGACATAGCCTGGTAATAACGTCCATAATTATGACAAGAAAATATTTCAAAGCTTCCTCAAGACAACTGTGTTAAAGGGGAAGCTGTTTCAGTCTAAAGCCGTGACATTTTCCAACTTTCATAGTAAATCACGTTTATTTTCGAAATCCAGTTGAAATTTTGATGAGAATTGTAGCTTGTAATCTTTTTTACCGTGTTTCCATATGCAATGTGTGATATTTATCGATTAGTGTCTGTGACTAGTTTGTGTTTTATGATGTGCTTTCATGTTCATTATGCTTTTTAGTCAATAAACATGTGTTTTGATATCGGAGTTTTGACGACTATAAAGTCTAATAATTCAATGATGACGAATGAATCCTTCGGTATATTCCGCTATGATCTGATGATCGGGTGCTCTCCAAGTTCTTTGCCACGAAACCCCAACCCAATCTTTCGCTTTTAATTCGAATTAAACTGACCGCACCCATCCTTCATATAATTACCAGCCGCGCGAAACAATCCTTTATGTATTTTTTGGGTGTGGTTCGTTGAAATGAAAGACTAGTGCGTCTGAAGAGCGTGCAGACGAGCAGAGAAAAACTTACGAAGAGTTCCAGCGATCCAATTCCATCGACGAACCCTTGAGTCGAAACGTTTTCCATCAATCAATAAATATAAATTGAAGAGAGAGATACGGCAACATGTTCGGGTAAACAGGTCAACAGATCAGATGCTCTGACGTCGCTGATGAACTTTCTTTCCCAGGAATGGATGAGAGGGGTTTGGGGATTGGGTTACAACGAGAAGCACGTCAGCGATCAACGTGATCGAGACGGATATCGGATTTGACGACATTATGACGTCGCATGGGATATAACGTGACTTGCAGGGAAAGATTTACTGTTATGTGCAACGAAAAAGTAATAACCGCTGAATTTAACTCTGAAACAACCAAGATTCTTGTTTTTTAACTTCATTATGCCATAAATGATTTCGCTTGTAACTAATCACATTGAAAATTCAATTAAAAGTGTTTACAATCTCATTAAAAACACCTAGAACTTGTCAAATGAGTAATTTCTTTGACATCGTGACAATAGTCATATAGGAGTCAGAGCGAAATCTTTCTTGTTTTTTGCTATCACATGTAACCTTGCATTTAACTATACCAGAGGCGCGTAAATTTAATTTGTGTAATCTCTAATGACAAAAGGTTATCCATTACGTGTAGAAATAAAGATTTAATCTTCCAGACGCTTCTCCGTTGAAACCACAAGTATTTACAACGCTGTGCGGACCCTTGTTCTGAATTTCTCACTCTTGATCAGCTAAAAATATGGTTTCGTTGCGCAAACTCGAACTGAAAGGATTCATGCACTTTTATATGCACATTGAACGTTCTATTTATTTATTTTAAAGGGCCTCACCAACTACATTTGAATCGCATTTTTACGGCTTGGAGGTGCGCCTCGCCAAAAGTTGCGAAAATCCCGCGAAAAAAATTAATACAAAAAATAATTGAGAATTTTTTCTTGTTCGAGCTCGAACAAGAAGAATTGAAGTTTGTTCATGTTCCAAAGCTGGGAACAAGGCTGTTTGGTCGTGCGGATCCTCCCAACACCCATTCCGATGCTCTTGGGGAAAGGCTGATGTAAGTTTTTTTTGATTTTGGCTTGGTTCTTCACATTTAGGTAGGATTAAACGAACTTGTGCAATATTTCTCCTGTTCTTTCGAAAAAAGCACGAGCGCAATGTTGAGGAGCAGGTATTAGACTCAAGGTTTCTCTGAAGTCCATTTCTTGCCTTTTTCGAGCTGTTTTTATCCATTTAGAGGTATTTTATATTGTTTTAGTTGGTCTTTTAATTTCAGAGTTGTTCAAGTCCGTAACGATCCGTGAAAAAGAGTTCTCTTCATCTTGGAATCAAGATTCGAGTCAGGCACATCATCTGCGTATAAGGTAATGTGTTTTTTTACTTGTTTGCATAAAATTTAGGTACGTAATTTCTCTGCTTCTATGCGTTTAGTTTTAGACTGGGACTTGTGTTCGTGAGTCTCAATGGTTACGGAGACGAAAACGTGTCGTACACCATCAAATTGGCCAAAACCTGCATGAGTAATATGTTTTATTGATGTGTTAGACAATAAAAAGATATATTAAGTTACATTCTCTCGTTTTGAAACACGTTTAAATCAAGAAGCTTTAATTCATTCGCAGGTCCTTGTGGTCAAGCTGGTTCCTTCATCTTCATGGGTCGTTGCGGACGTTTGAACAATTCTGAAATTAAAAGACCAACTAAAACAATATAAAATACCTCTAAATGGATAAAAACAGCTCGAAAAAGGCAAGAAATGGACTTCAGAGAAACCTTGAGTCTAATACCTGCTCCTCAACATTGCGCTCGTGCTTTTTTCGAAAGAACAGGAGAAATATTGCACAAGTTCGTTTAATCCTACCTAAATGTGAAGAACCAAGCCAAAATCAAAAAAAACTTACATCAGCCTTTCCCCAAGAGCATCGGAATGGATGTTGGGAGGATCCGCACGACCAAACAGCCTTGTTCCCAGCTTTGGAACATGAACAAACTTCAATTCTTCTTGTTCGAGCTCGAACAAGAAAAAATTCTCAATTATTTTTTGTATTAATTTTTTTCGCGGGATTTTCGCAACTTTTGGCGAGGCGCACCTCCAAGCCGTAAAAATGCGATTCAAATGTAGTTGGTGAGGCCCTTTAAGAGAGTGCGCTCTTTAGTCAGATTGCAAGGTAAGATTGAACATAAAAATTCAGCAAGGTGATGTACCAGAAAAATGCAAGAAAGGTGATAAAATAAAATGCGTTTATGACCCAAAATTAGGGCTTGATACCATTAAATTTTTCCACTGTATACACGCTTTACTGTGCGCAAATTTACAAAAGATTTTTCGATACAGAAAACTACAATATCGTTTATAAATTGAAGAAATCAGAAGTTGACCAATGACGTAAAATTCAGCAAACAATGTCATCATTTCCTCTAAAATCTATGTTAACCTTTTAATTCGAAAAATAGCAAGTAAACAAGATGTTTACCCTACGAAAAGTGACCAATTAGTCGACCACTGGGCGAGACCGGTCTCTTTGTCAAAGAACCCCGTTATTGCGTTCAAATTCACGTAGACAAAGCTACATTCCCACCTTTTGGGAAACCAAGTTTGACCAGTAAACCACTCCAAAAGCAGAGAAACCAATGACGATTTGAACCTAAAGATTAGAGTGTGGTGACAAGAAACTACTCTTTAAAGAACGTATATTTCCCAAATAGCAGTGTTCCCGCTATTGTTACCATTTGATAAATTCGTTGTAGAGAAGAAATTTGTGGCTTATAGTGATTCTTTTTGGTTCCATCACGTAATTTTGTCGGGAAACAAAATTACGTGACTATTTATGAGCATTGTACGGCGACTTCTGAGAGGGAGGACACCGAAAATTAAAGCTTATTCAACAAGAAGCATCAATAAGCTGAATGGGATCAAAAATATATGTTTATAGGTTTAAAATACTAAAAATAAATTAAAAAAGTTAATTTAGACGGAATTTTTGACAAAAACAGGTATTTTTGGTGCTTATTGAAAAGCTTTTAGAGTCACAATTGTCAATTTGATTACTACGCTTGTCTAAAAATCATAAAATACCCTCATTAAGCTCTTGGGTTATATGTTGACCAAAAAATTCTATATTAGCCCATTATCTACATAAAAAAAATCACAAAAATTCATCAACAAATTCGAAAGGTTACTGTACTTACAATTAGACTTGACTTGACGCAAAGAGCAATTTTAGGTTAAGGAAATTACAAAAAAAGGTTAAATGTTTGGAAGATGGGGGAAAAGGAGGAATGACGCAAATGGTCAGCAGAAGATATAAACTTGTAACCCGGAATGATTGATTCGCCCTGTCTGATCGAAGGTTGTGATATCAGTTCTTGATATGTTACCGAAGTTGGGAATATAAAAATTCGTTTGATTGGGAAAACTGCATCAAAAAAATATGTTTTTTTACAAAAGTTTTGGAGTACGGAAAGCTTAAAAATGGGCTACAAAATAAAGAGTGCTGACATAAGAAGTCAGTCTTTGCCTTCTCAAGAACGAACAACCCTTCTACTACTATTATATGTAGTACTAAATCCCACAAGATTACCGTAATTTCGTTGCCGTACTCACAAGGTCTCAAGATGAAACGACTGGTCAATTGTGGCCTACCATGAATATCTCGACAATTATCTGACATTAAACCGTCCTTGGTCTAGAAACTTTTCCAGGCAGTACCATAAGATGTGCCCTACGCCATTTATCAGCCATTTGTGGTTGCCTTGTTAAATCTTACTATGTTTTTCTTGGGTTTTTCTTGTCATCAGATCAAAACGACACAGATGTGATCGCCCTTGAAATTTGCTAGACGGCCGCAAAGGTTTGATTATTTGACAAATTAAGTGAGTCCGTAAAAAACAATTCTTTACTGATGTCGAAAGTAAGAATCAAAAAACAATTCCAGACGTTGTAATGCTTTACAAATTAAAATTCAGCCTCGGACCTACCACTTTTTTGACATTTATTTACAGGGTGGGCCACTCGAAACTCCCAACATCTTTTCAAGTATTTCTCCGCCAATAATGCATCAATTTCTATAAAATTTAAAATTGAAGCTCAGACACCCCATTTCTTGTCCACCAAATATGGCCCGTCTAACTTCACGGAGGCACCCGTACTGACCTTTTACATTTTCATTCCAAATTTTGGAGCCCGAAATCGGTGAAACTTAGAAATTTTTTGGAATGATTTCCAGTTGAGTTTCTCGGAATTGGAAAATGTTCGCGCCTTTGACTAAATAAAACTCTTATAAGCAGCAGAAAAAAATGATGGCAGTCAACGGAATAGTCAAAATTATTCTTCAAGGCGTTGCTTTCCTGTTCTGGGGCGATAAGCTTAATTATTCGAAATTTTTCAAAATGTTTAAAAAATGGGCGAAACTGTCTACATGCATGACGACATCCACCCCGAAGATGCATAGAAACTTTCCAGGCTTAGATTGCACGAGAAAACAGCTTTCGTTCTCATTCGCCCAAATTGGTACCTCGCCTGATTGAAATATGGGTTTAACGCACTTGGTACGGACGTAAACTTTAAATTTTTAAAATTTTTTCCACGAGTTTGGCGACTTTTTTTTCTAGCAAGAAATCCAAAAATTTTCTAAGTCCGAGAAACTCAATTGAAAATCATTCCAAAAATTTTCTAACAAGGGAAGTCACTTTTTTCGCAGACGGACTTCGGAACGGGACCTAGTAGGTTTCAAACCTGAAGCGTCTACGATCATACAACTGATTTCCAAAAGTGTTTACGGGGCTTCTCGGCCGAGAAAATCGACCGCAAAGTTTAGCCGAAATGAGCGAATAGCCTCCTCAAAAGAAACAGCTTATTTCATCTGCAGTGGTGGCCGAGTGGTCAGCGCGCTCGCTTTTTGCGCCAGAAGAGGCGGGTTCGATCCCTTGCGCAGTTTATTATCTTTTTTGGTTCGTAAATATTGATTTAGTATGTAAACATAAAATGTATACACTTTTGTAATTTTTTACAGTAATTTAAACATAAATTCAAAGCTGAATGTTCATGAATATTGTAAAGCCAAAACAGGGCTGGGTTGATGAAGATATACTTTCTAAATTTGTGTTTTATTAAAAATTGCTAATAATTAGGATATGTGATGTTAACGGCATCTCTCTATTTGATTCAATTGTCAAAAGAAATGCATCCGCAGACGACCGAAGTCGAACTCACGTCTTCTGGCGCAAAAAGCGAGCGCGCTGACCACTCGGCCACCACTGCAGATGAAATAAGCTGTTTCTTTTGAGGAGGCTATTCGCTCATTTCGGCTAAACTTTGCGGTCGATTTTCTCGGCCGAGAAGCCCCGTAAACACTTTTGGAAATCAGTTTTATGATCGCAGACGCTTCCCGTTTGAAACCTACTAGGTGCCGTTCCAAAGTCCGTCTGCGAAAAAAGTGACTTCCCTTGTAAGTTTCACCGATTTCGGGCTCCAAAATTTGGAATGAAAATGTAAAAGGTCAGTACGGGTGCCTCCGTGAAGTTAGACGGGCCATATTTGGTGGACAAGAAATGGGGTGTCTCAGCTTCAACTTGATATAAATTTTATGGAAATTGGTGCATTATTGGCGGAGAAATACTTGAAAAGATGTTGGGAGTTTCGAGTGGCCTACCCTGTACTCTAATCTGATAATTTTGGAGCAAATTATTATTTTTTATCCGATAGACCGGCCAAATCGCACCTAAACTTGTTAATCCTAACCGATCCAAGTTCTGTGACCATCAACAATAGGAGAATACCAGGAAGATGTCCAAAAAAGTAAATCAGTGATCTGTGAAACCAAAATATCGTCAAAAGACACTGACTCGAAACGACTTTTTGGTTGAGAAACGATCTTTAAAAGTAGTAATAAAGGGTAAAAATAGCTGAACGTGATTGGAGACTGACAAAAAGCATGATGAAAACAGTAAAAACTAGCAACCGCTAAAAGTACTTTGACTGTTTTTTGATGGTGAAAAGGTTATTTTATCAAAAAAATTTTTAAAAATAACAAAGTTATGACAAAATTTTAACATTTTGAGATAAAAAAATCATAACTAAATTTAGCAGTTACTTTGCAGTTGTAAATGACATCATCCCTAAAAACATAAAACTACGTTTTTTCTGATTAAAATCTATGATTTTGTTTTTGCAATTAGTCGAAGTTGTGCGAGCGCTCTTTGTGTAAAAAGCACCGAATTTGTCCGTGAAGAGAGTTTACTGTTTTCAATGGAGATTGTTAAGTTAACAAGACAATTAGTCTCGGTTTGATTTTGGTACACGAAAAAGATAAAAGTTTGCTTCCGACTACAAGCAGATGATTGAGAAACACGAAAAAACATCTCCAAGAAAAGGGAAATTAAATCGATTTTGTTGGCATTCAAAATTTTGTGTGGAGGTTGAGAAATAGGACGAGATTCAGAAGGTAATAATTACTTGAATTGCTTTTCAAAAAAATGCTATTATCCTAGAAATGGAAGCATTTTGAATAACACGCGAAGATGTTTATCTATCACGTAAAGTCCCAAGAGCGACGTCCAGATTTTTGTTCAAATTTTACACAAAGTTTTAGCTAGTAATTTGCAAAGGCCATCGATACATTCAGCGCTCCAAGCCACAGGGCGCGGCTGCGAAAATGGGGAGAGCGGCCAGAGAGAAAAACGTATTTCGGCCATTTTTCAGCTTCCCCGCGGAAATGGTATTTCGTTTTTTCAAAAAAAAAACATTGGCTTGTATGTTAGAACTAGAGATGAAACTTTCCATGAAAAAAATTCACAAGTAGGTGTCACATTTTCGCAAAGTTTTGATTTAAAAATCTCAGTGATTTCAGCAAAGCGTGAACTTGCAATCTCGCAAATGACTTACAAAATAAGTAGAATTTAGTCTAATTCTCAGCATAGATTTCCGAGATTTTATATTTCGGAAATTTATGCTGCAATCTTTGAGCCTTTTTATGATCCAAATTTGTCACTTGCTTTTTATTGTCCCCCAATTTTGTGTTAACAAAACCCTCCGTTAAATTAGAATTCCCCTCGGAAGTGATGCGAACGGATATTCATTAAACGCCGAAATGTATCCGTTCCAATTGCAGAAATTAAATATAGAATTTGTCATTTCCTTTCCAAATTTTTCTGAAATTTCGTGCAAAACGACATGATCACGGAGAGGGCAGCTGAATAAAAAAAAAAGAAAACAGAAACTGTCTGTTCTAATAATCGAATTGATAAGTCAAAATTATGAATAATTCAGGATTGTATAGTTGTATAGCAAACCACAAAAAACATCTGGAGTTTGTTTTCTTCCGCTTTTTGGCATACTGTAATACATAGCTAAATGAGACATTTTTGAAGGTAGAACTAGAGGGAATAAAGCGTGGAGATGACTGAAATGGAAATGAAGAATCATGCAGATGCTATCTTTGGTGATAAAAGTATAATCTAAAGCCTACTAGAGATCTAATCTGAGATTTTTGAAAAAAATGGAAGAACGGTCATTTTTAAATTTTTTTTTGTGGAAAAAATTATTATTATGTCAACTGTAAAAATATATATATATACGTCGCAAAAAAATCATAAGTTAACGAGTGCAAAAAAGTTTATTTTCTTACAAACCCAGAAAAAAAATAATTTTTTTGCCAGAAACCCTTTTTACTGGGCACAGCATTCCGAACTTTTTTCGCCGCCGATCGGTGTCCAAAAAAATGAAAAATTAAAAAGTGCACATTAGATTTTCATGTGTGTAAGGGTAGCCAGAAGAGATACCGGCAAAAACAAAAACTTTTTATGTAGAGTAATCAATTTCCTTTCAGAGTATGTAAGTTTTGTCTTCAGGTTGCCAGCTACCTTTAAGAAAATCGTCACTAAAAAAATGGAAATTTCGATTTTGAATGCCAAAAAAATGTACTTTCTTGGGGCCGCCAAGAAAGATGTTGGAGTCTATCGTAAAGAGAATTTCAAGGGCTACAACATATTAAAATTTCAAGATTTTTGTGGGGGTTTGAGTCAAGTTAGAGTGAAAAAACCACTGATTTTGGCCATTTTTTGCACTTTTTCTTGATTTGTTTGCACTTTTAGTGCAAAAATAAAGAACCATCCGTGGGCGATGGAATCTGTGTGTCATGTCGGATATGCATGCCAAACTTGAAGCTTCGCCGACGCTCCGGAGTCGCTGAATATCCGTTTAAATACGAAACCTTAGAGTACTATTTCTGTCGTTCGAAATCGCTTTATGTGCTCCAAGATACTTTTTGATCAAAAATATATTGTCTGTATATAGTGTATAACAACTGTATAACGACTTCATTGCAAAAGTCTAACTCAGATTGGCGGTTAAATTAGTTGGTTGTTGCAACATCAAATATTGGCTCTGGGAAGGATTCTCTGCCAAATTCAATTTTCGAAATGAAAAAAATATATCGTGAGTAAATGATAAGAAGTTGTTATACACTGTATATAGACAATATACTTTTGATCAAAATGGATCTTGGAGTACATAAAGCGATTTCGAACGATAGAAATAGTACTCTAAGGTTTCGTATTTAAACGGATATTCAGCGACTCCGGAGCGTCGGCGAAGCTTCAAGTTTGGCATGCATATCCGACATGACACACAGATTCCATCGCCCACGGATGGTTCTTTATTTCTGCACTAAAA